ATTTTACTATGTTTTAATTTAATATCATATAAAATCATTATATATTTATTTCAGTTACACTTTTATAGCACGATAAGGTTAAGATTATTAAAATACACATAAATAATTGAAATAAAATTATTATATATATTTGTTTAAATAACATTTTTATAGAACGATAATGTTAATATTATCAAAATAAATAATTAGAATTATTTTTTAATTTTAAATGACTTTTTTTCGCCCAATTTAATCATTATTTTTAATATTAAAATAAATATTTATTTTATTATATTGAAATCAAGTTCAAAAGTATTATATATATATATATATATATATATGTATACATAGATATGTATTATTCTTTTGTAATGCATACATTGCAATATATTTCTAAAAATAATTTATGGGCGAATTACAATAACGGTCTCTATAATTTGTGACTTGTGTCACGTTGGTCTTGACTTTTCAATTGTGATATATTTGACCTTGAATTTTGAATCTTGTTCTAAATAAGGACAATTGACGATACCATTGCTTAATTTCAAGCGCAAAATTGTCAATTTGATAAAATATAAACTAATTTGACAAAAATAAATGTCAAAAAAATATTTTTAAATTTTTAAAAATTATTTTTACCCACTAAAGATAAAATTATATAAAATTGATAAATCTTTTAGACATTTATTTATTTTTTTTACCAAATTAATTTTTATTATATGTTTGGATGATAAGCATGTGATGAGTATTTATTTTTATTTTCATTAAATTGGTTTCTATTTTTTCAAAAGTCAAATATAGTAACAACTTTGATATCATTAATAATCAATCCATTAAATCAAAAAAATCCAAAGCTAAAAATATTTCATATATTAAATATATCGATTACACATTAAAATCCTAACAACTATCCATTATATGATTATCATCCAAACACATACTAATAAAACTTAATTTAATAAAATAATAAATAAATAAATGTCTAAAAGATTTTTCAATTGTATACTATTTTATCTTTGGTGGGTAGAAATAATTTTTTGATATTTATTTTTATCAAATTAGTTTATAAATATCAAATTAACGATTTTGCCTTTGAAATTAAGCAATGATATCTTTAATTGTCCTTATTTGAAACAGTTCAAAATTTATGGTCAAATATGTCATAGGTAGAAAGTCAGGAACCAAAGTGACACGAACCCCAAATTATAGAACCGTAATTTGCTTATAATTTATATATAAACATATATAAATAATTTAATTTAATTGTATGAAATATTATTTAAAAGGAAAAAAAATTAACCAATGCTAATTTATTTAAAACACACACTCATCGTTTAAAAAAAAAAAATAAAAAAATTTCTTGAAGCTTGAATCAGGCGCAGAAAGAGATATCCTTATACCAAAAAAATAAAATAAAATAAATAAAAATAAAATGGAGAATATATAAAAAAAAAAAAAACGTGAGAAATTGAAAAAATAATTACAAACTTATAAAACTACAAATTATTTATGTATTAGATCGTGCAAATGAATATGTTATTTTTATAAATTTACAATTATTTTTAGGGAGCTTTTTTGATAAATCCATTTTCTAAGAGCTTTATCCATCCAACCCATATTCTTTTTGACATTCCATTAGGTCCAATTTGAGATAAGAAGACCAAATACCCTTTTCATCTACTTATGTTCATTTAGTTCACATTATTTTCTTATATTTCAATAAGTCCTATGGTGACATAATTACCAAAATACCCTAATGTGAATGTCACACGTCAACTAAATGTTCATATCGTCAATGTGTAGGGCCGGCCCATGTCGATCCTCGTGGTGCCCGAAAAAATTCGAGTCGGGGGCCAGGCCGGCCCACAGGCCAAAAAAATAGGCCCGGCTCGCCTGTTGATAATATAAATATTCACTTGACAAGTTAACATTCACATTGATAAGAGTGTAAAATTGGCCTGCGGCGTGCGGCCCGAAACCAGTCCGCCGCCTGGCGCGGCCCGGACCGGCCCGTTCACAATGTGAATAATCACATTGACATATTAACATTAACAATAACATTGACAAGAGTGTAAAATTGGCCATACCCGTGGGCAGCCGAAGCCGGGCCGAGTCGGGGCGGCCCGGCCCGGCCGTTGACAATGTGAATATTCACATTGATAAGTTAACATTCACATTGATAGGGCGTAGAATTACCGCGCCTGTGCCGGCCGAACCCGCCCGCGACTCTGGGCTGCCCAGGGCGGGCCCGGCCCGACCCGTTAATAAGTGTAATATTCACATTGACATTAACATTCACATTGATAAGAGTATAAAATTAGCCCCGCGCCCCGTGACTGTTCGAACAAGCCCACGGCCCGTGGCGGCCCGGGGTGGCCCGCCCGGCTTGTTGACAATGTGAATATTCACATTGACATGTTAACATTCACATTGATAAGAGTGTAATTGACTCGCGTCCCATGGGCAGACGAAGCCCGTGGGCGGCGCGGGCAAGCCCGGTGCCCGTTGACAATGTGAATATTCACATTGACATATTAACATTCACATTGATAGGAGTGTAAAAATTGGCCTGTGGCCCGTGCGGCCCGAAACCCGCCCGTTGTCCAGCGGGCCCGGCCCGGCTCGTTGACAATGTGAATATTACCATTGACATATTAATATTAACATTGATAAGAGTGTAAATTGGCCCGTGACCCGTGAGCAGCCCGATGCCGCCCCGGGCCGGGGCGGCCCGGCCCGTTGACAATGTGAATATTCATATTGACATATTAACATTCACATTGATAAGAGTGTAACATTAGCCCGTGCCCCGTGGCTGCCCGAAATACGCCCACGGCCGTGGCGGCCCGAGGCTGGCCCGGCCCGCTGTGACATATGTAATTCACAATGACATGTTAACATTCACATTGATAAGAGCGTAAAATTGACTTGCGTCCCACGCGGCCTAAACCGTGGGCGGTCCAAGTTTTGGTCCGGCCTACCCGGCCGCGGGTGAGCTTCGAGCAGTGGACAAATTTTACACCCTATCAATGTTAATGTTACATGTCAATGTGAATATTCACATTGTCACGGGTCGGGCCAAGCCGCCTCGGGCTGCGATCAGGATTCGAGCCGCACGGGCTCGGGCAATTTTACACTCCTATCAATGTGAATGTTACATGTCAATGTGAATATTCACATTGCCAACGAGCCGGGCCCGCCTCGGCTAAGGTTCACGGCTTGGCTACCACGGGTAGGGCCAATTGTACACACTTATCAACGTGAATGTTAACATGTCAGTGTGAATATCTCATTGTCAACGAGACCGGCCGGCCCCCCGGCCACCACGGGCCGTGGGCGGGTTTCGGGCAGCCACGGGGCGCGGGCTAATTTACACTCTATCAATGTGCATGTTAACATGTCATATGAATTTCACATTGTCACGAGTCGGGCCAAGCCCGCCCGGCTGCGTCGGGCTTCGGGCGCCACGGCTGCGGGCAATTTTACACTCTATCAATGTGAATGTTAACATGTCAATGTGAATATTCACATTGTCAAAAGCTGCGGCCGCGGGCCCGCTCGGGCGGGCGCTTTTGCGCCAGGCCGCCGGCCAATATACATCTTATTCAATGTGAATGTTTAATATGTCATGTGAATATTCACTGTCAACGGCCGGACCGGCCGCCCGACCTTCATGGCGCGTGCGGGTTCGCAGCCACCACGGGACGGGGCAATTTTACACTCCTATTAATGTGAATGTTAAATTAATGTGAATATTCACATGTCAACGGGCGGCCGGGTCGGCCCTTCTCCGTACCTATCTGTAATTATTCTTTCTGTCCAGCCTTTTTACTCCCCACTTACTATTCATATTGAATGTTATATTAATTGTTCAATGTTAACACTTCACATTCCTCCCTGGCTCAACTTACTGCAGAGCCGGGGCCGCCCACGGCCCGTGGCGGGTTTCGGGGCAACCATTAGTGCGGGTTAATTTTACACTCCTATCAATGTAAATGTTAACATGTCAAGTAAATATTCACATTGTTAACGAGCCGGGCCGGGCCCGCCCCGGGCCGCGGCGGGCTTTTGCCGCCCATGGGCCGCGGCCCAATTTATACTCTACAATGTGAATGTTAACATGTCAATGTGAATATTCACATTGTCAAATGGTCGACCGGCCCGCCCGGGCGGCCATGGGCTGCGGCGAGTTCGCGCCGTCACGAGACGGGGCCAATTTTATACTCTTATCAATGTGAATGTTAACATGTCAATGTGAATATTCACATTGTCAACAGCCGGCGGCCCGCTCACGGGCGGGGCGAGTTTTGGGCAGCCACGAGGCGCGGGCTAATTTTACTCCTATCAATGTGAATGTTAACATGTCAATGTGAATATTCACATTGTCAACGGGCCGGGCCGGCCCGCCCCGGGCCGCGGCGGGCTTTTGCCGCCCATGGCCGCGGCCCAATTTTATGCTCTTATCAATGTGATTAACATGTCAATATGAATATTACATTGTCGACGGCCGGACCGGGACCGCCCGGCCGGCCATGGTCGCGGGCGGGTTTCCGCCGCCACGGGAGAGGTCAATTTTACACTTCTATTAATGTGAATGTTAATATGTCAATGTGAATATTCACATTGTCAACGGCCGGCCCGCCCGGCTCGCAGCCGGTTTCGCCGCCCACGAGCAATTTTACATTTCTACCCAATGTGAATTAATTAAATATAAATGTTCACTCATTAAATTGCTAATCGTTGAAAAAATATTTATAAGGGTATCAAAATTAAATATAAGGGCATAAGTGTCCAAGAAAATAGTGTAAATCAAGAAAATGGACTTTATGGAATAAAACTATACATACATGGGACTAAATGGGTTAAAAAATTCCTTCATGGACTTCTTAGGTTAAAACACTTCTAAATTGGACTTATCAATAAAAATCCCTATTTTTTATACTCCTCATTTTTTTATATTTTCCTAAAAACATTTTTTAATTTTTTTTTGCCAAACGGTCGCTATATATTGCTTCCCGCCAGGCTGTTCTCTCCCCTTCGTCTCGCTTGCTCTCTCTCTCTCTCTCTCTCTCTCTCTCCCTCTCTCTCGCAACCGCTTTCTACGCTCTGCGCCTGGTTTCTCATGGAGAGAAAGAGGGAGAGAAACCATGCCAGAAGGAGAGAGAAAATCCCATCACTCTCTCTCTCTCTCTCTCTCCCCCAGCATCTCTTACCCCCAATTTTCTTTCCCAACTTTCCATCTCTAGAAACTCAAGCAAGAAAACATGAGCGTGATCGAAATTCTCTTCCGAGTCGACGAAATCTGCAAGAGGTACGACAAGTACGACGCCGACAAGCAGCGAGAACTCAATGCCTCCGGTGACGATGCCTTCGCTCGCCTCTACTCCGCAGTCGAATCTCAAATGGAAGCTGCTATTTGTGTTAGAATCCGTTCACTTTTCATGAATTTTGTGTTTACATGTTTATTATTGTTGTGTTGCTGATTTTGAAAAGTGTTTCCAGAAATCGGAGGCTGTGGCGATGGAGACGAATAGGGCAAAAGCTGTCGCCATGAATGCAGAGGTTCGTCGAGCAAAGGCTCGGATGATTGAAGAAATTCCCAAATTGCAGAAATTGGCGCTGAAAAAGGTGAAATTTGAATTTTTTAGTTTCATGTCTTAGGTGAAATTGATTTCTCATTTGTTAAACCTAATATAGTTGCATGATTTGTACTTCTTCATACATATTTGGTTAGTTTGGCAATTGCTTTTTATTTATTTATTTAGAATAACATTATTGCTAAAAAGTTAGTTTTTGTAATTGGGGAAATTGAGTGGATCCTTTTACAAAATAGCTTTTTTTGTCAATTGTTACCCTGTTTTTTTAGCCAAAAACAAAAAGCTTAAGAATTTTGGCTTAATTAGTCAAAAAGTAGCTAAAATGCACAAACCAAACACAGCCTTAAATGGGAGAAGTACCCAATTTGAGGGATGTCCAATTGAGTGTGCAACCTATACGGGGAGCAAATATGCTTCGCATTTGTACTCCTTGTGTCCAAGCTCGTATTGCTTTCAATGACGTCTTACTTCCTGAAACACAATGAAGGTGAGGTACCTGGCGGGTAGTTTGCTGGAAAATCTCTCCGACGGTCAAGTTTGCACTCTTGACAGAAGGAGAGTAGAGAGTGAATAGTGCAAGTTTGGTTACCCCTTTCCCCAGTGAGGACGTGCCTTATCTAGGCTGCTGCTGTCCTTTCCAAGGTTGTGCACACATTACCTCCTTTGTCCTTTGTTGGATGCGTAAACGTGCTATCCTCTCATTTCCTCACACGTGTGCACGTTAATACTGCCAAACAGCAGTGGCCAAACCGTCAAACGGTATTGACGCATACCTCGAGCAGATTCCTCTCCTTACTCCATTGGGCCACGTGGAATGCTCTGACCAAGCTATCACTTCTAAATCAACTCCGCATTAGCTATCTTCAATGGTGCCAACTTTGAACGTTCTTATTCCGAGCAAACCTAGGTCTGTGACTCCATCCGGTCTTACGGCTCGGCCAAGCCCTTTAGGACTCTTTGCACTTATTCCAGTCGAAGTCCCCCCATTTGCTCATTACTCGCACAACCTCCTCATGCCAGCTCGGTCCCGGATAGCAGCCTCGTTTTATCTTAGCCCGGTCCATGGTAATGGCCCAAATCTAGCTGAGACTGGTCCATCACCAAGGCGTGTGCTCGATTCAGCTCACAAACTACCGCGGCCCAACATCCGTGACTATGCGCTAGTCCAGTTGTGCGGTCCACGAAGGTCTGTGGTTTAGCATGGTCTATTTGTTCGGCACAAATTCCCCTCCCACAACCCATGACAAAATGACTAGACAACCACGCAGGCATATGATCATTGAAAAGAATCTGACTGGCCATCAAAGCCGAAATCAGCAATTTCTAATTTTTGGAGTGTGGGTGACTCACATGAATTTTACCCTCAGTTGCCACCCAAATGGCATGAGATTGGGCTCTTATGCATCATTTTGAGTTTGCCTCCTGTATAAATTTGAGTTTTGTAAGTCATCCATCATGAAAACAAGAAGTTTGTGCTGAAGTTGTAATGAAATGTTATATATCCACAGGTCAAAGGGCTTTCCAAGGAAGAACTCTCTGTTCGTAGTGATCTGGTTATCGCACTGCCAGAGAGGATTAAATCGATTCCAGATGGGAGCACATTTGCTGGCAAACAAACTGGAGATTGGGGAGCATCAGGATCTAATAAAAAAATCACGTTTGACAATGGTGATTTTTGTTTCTAATCTATTTATTGAGTTTTTTAGTTGTCACTTGTTCAAAAAAGAAAAAAAAATGTCAGTTATGAAAGCCTGATTTATTAATACTAGCTTACTTGCTTTATTTTGAATGAACCGCAGATGGGCTCTTCGGTGATGAATTTTTTCAACAGTCCGAGGAATCAGGTCAATTTAGGGAAGAATATGAAATGCGCAAACAGAAACAGGCAAGTGGTAGCTGACAGAATACTTGGCATTTTCTTGCCTGGTGTTGCTTTTTCACTGACAATTCTGCATTCTCGTCTAATTTGATTTGATTATACACAGGATCAAGGCTTAGACGTTATATCAGAAGGTTTGGATACACTGAAGAATTTGGCACATGACATGAATGAGGTTGGCTCTTGTGCATTTTGCTTGTACATGATATACTTTTAAAAGAAATTAAAAAGTACTCATTTGTTGTTTTCCTTACAGGAATTGGATAGGCAAGTTCCATTGATTGATGAAATTGATACAAAGGTTGGAAACTTCTTATAAACTCCCTTCCAATAAGATCAGAGTACCAAAATATGTTGGTGGTGGAAGTTTCATTATGTAATATTGTTTTTGGTGTCTTCACAGGTGGACAGGACTACAGCTGATCTTAAGAATACTAATGTTAGACTCAAGCAAACGGTTAATCAGGTAAATAAACATAATGTTGTGTTACATTAAATAAGTTTATCTGTTTAGAGCTTCTTGCCATTTATTTCTATCTGGTAGCATGGTGCCTGATAATTTGAAATTTTCAATTATTTGACAGATGAGGTCCAGTCGAAACTTCTGTATCGACATCATTCTGTTGTGTGTTATTCTGGGAATTGCATCCTATTTATACAAGTAAGCTCCTTACCTTGCTCAGTATTTAGATTAGAATCATGTTTGGGGATGCATTTCTTGTATCATATTTTCTCATCACCAAGTTTTTTGAGTTTTTAGTGCGATCTTCATAGATGGTTGTCTTTTCCCCACTATAGTGATAAAAAGAAAAAAAATGATAGCAGTAGACTAGTGCTACATCATATAGCTTAGATGTTTATGTTTTTTATCGCAGCCATCAGATCATACCACACCATGAAATTGATAATCTGATTTTTTTTCCTTTGGTGTAAATCTCAAGAAAGACTCCAACCCACTTCTGTAAGCCAATATTAATGACGTGCTCTTCACATAGTTGTATTGTGCAATTGAGTATAAAATGGTGCAACCGATCTCAACAATCACAGCTGCTCTTTATTTTTGTTGACAAACCAGATTATATGTAACAATTGCTTCTGTTTCTTTACCAACTTTATGCTATTCTTTCTTTTTCTGATTAAATTTTGATTTATTGATTCTGGAAGAATTAGAGTAACACAATTCTTCTTTGTTTGTTGCAGTATACTGAGGTGAAATATTGGGGGGTGGTCTCAGTGTCGTCTGGTATTGTATCATCCAACACATTTGGGTGCTTGTTTCGTATAATCTTTGAACGTTCTTGATTGATTCATTGTTTATGATTTTGCCCTCTGAAAGTGGTCTTTTGTCTTATATAGAATTCACTACCTGAGATTTGTTGTATTTGTATAATTTTAGTTCATTCTAGCCATTGCTGGTGTCAAAGCTAATCATACAAATAAAAGGGCAAAAGGTGTTACTTGTATGAGGATATATATAGTATTACTTCTGCTTCAGCCAGTAAAATATTCATTCAATATATGTAAGGATTGTTGCATGTTGAATATAAGATAATATTAACCTAAATTAACCATCATCAGGAGTTACTAATATTAGCATTTTACTAGATGATAGAGGCTAAATTTTAATAGTTTTCTCTTTCCTTTTTTATTCTTCCACAAAATCAAGATCTAAACACTTTATAAGTTAATTACAATGTAATTGGTTCATAGAGTGGACTAGTCTATTACTTTCATATTTTTCAATTAAGAAATATGGAGATCGTCGGTGAATAGTGTTTTGGAGCAATGCCTGAATGGCATTGAGTAAATTTTCCAGTTATTGACAATATATGAGTTGCTAGATCCGTTGGTTGTTATTCAAATCATATCTTCAGTGATTTTAAGCTAGGTTAGGGATGACAGAGGACCTGTGTTCAGGTCAATCTTAGGTTTAGGCTATACATGCTTAATCAAAAAAAATATTGGAGCCTATCATTTTAAAACAAGGATTTGTAAATTATAAATATGCCATTGTCACATCATTTTAATGAGAGATCCTTTATTTTTATTTATTTTGGAAGATTAATATTTTTCTAAATTAGTTAATGTTGTTTAAATACAGGTGAACTCAATCTATGTTCATTTATTTCCATTGGAGTTTGATAAATCTATATAGAACACATTAAACTCCTTAAGCATTTTGCTCCAAAAATAAAAATAAACATGAGACCAAAATAAAATCAAAATGAAGAAACTTATCCGGATTTGTAAAACTAATGATGCCTAAGCTTATCTTAATGTCAGAGCCATTAAAAGTCTTTGTAAAGCCAACGATGCCTAAGCTCTCCTACAATTACCAAATCATTTAATAAAAATGTCTAAACGAAAATTGGAATAAAAAAGACTCAATATGAAACAAATTGCTAAGAAAATAAAGCTAAACAAATTGCTTAAAAATTGGAAGGTTCTAAATGACTCAATTAAGCTAACCTAGAATAATAAAATTCACCACAACCAACCAGAACAATATGATACTACAAATTCCAACCAAATAAGTCATGAATTTTAAAAGTAATTAACTGAAAAAAATTCAAATCCTAAGTGTTAATAGAATAAAAATTTAAAGCCATGGTTGTCTAATTTGACTATACAAATCCTAACTATTAACACATTCATTCATCAAATGAATTTGTAGGTGTATTTTTTTTATTTCATCATTAACACATGACACATGACACCAAATAATAATAATAATAATAATGTATTTTTATTGTGTTCAATCATATACCTACAAATAGCAAGTATGATGGATGATAATTTCCTAAATTTGTATAGTCCAGTTAAACAACCAACCAAAGAAATAATCACTAAATAACAATGATGAATCACTGCTTCAGTAAGAATACAAATCAAATTCTTGCCACAATGTTTGGAAGTCCTCAAGCTGTTTAATGATCAATCATTGTTCTTAGGAAGTTTTCAAGCTGTCTAATCTGAACCTATTAAGCAAACACAATGCGTTTTTTTTTAAAATATATTTTTTATTAGTAAAATACAATTTATTACTAAATAAAGTGATTAAAATAAGAAAGCCCGGTTGGAGATTGCGTCATAGTATGAAAAATATAAAAACAGAACCGAAGCAACAAAAATCGAGCTACAAATTAATTCTGGTAGATTCCAACCCTTCCAAAGAGTGAAGAAAATCATTAATGTTGCAATGATAGAGATTGGCCCACCCATGCATCTAAAATGCAGCTCTACTTTTGATAAATTCTAGAAATTCGAACCAAATTAACTGTTTGTGGTTGAAAATTAATTCATTTCTAGCAAGCCAAACAATCCATATAATAGAATCCAAAAGAAATTATAGAAATCAACACAAAGTTTAAGGGTTGAGCAAGAAATCCATATAATCCGTAATCCAATCCGGTCTAGTCTAATCTGGTAGGTTTGAATTGGTTTTTTAAATCCGTGATTTGGTTCCGGATTAGAAATTTAAAAATTCATAGGGCACGGATCGGTTTCGAATTCAACCCCACAATTCTGGATTGAAACCGATTTGGACTGTATACAAATAGTATATATTTATAATATAAACCCTCTTACGTAATACCATTTCTTATTCTTATAAAAGCTAAACCCTAACCCTAATTGGTTGTAAGGCGTGGGTCTTGGCATTGGATTGTGTGGGCTGTTGAAAAGAGGGGTGTGGTTGCTTTTGGTGGAATTGTAGAGTGTAGCCGCATGGGTGAAGTTGTTTTGGGAGTGCAGCGCTTGGGAATTTGTTTTGGCTAGTGTGGGTTGTTTTGTGGGTTTTAATTATTTTATTTTTAGAGTTTTAAGTGCTGTAGCTTTTGGTGGAAAAGAATAGTGTGGGTTGGTGGAAAAAAAAGTGATTGGGGTTCAATTATGTTTATGTTTTTATGGAACTAAAATGTTATATATATATATTTTTATTTAATTATGTGAATCCGTAATCTTAAACCGATCAAATTCGTGTTTAAACGGATTAGTTTGGATTGGTTTCACCATTTAAACGGATTGGATTAGTTTCAATTTTTCAAGAACCATAGATAACGGATTGGTCCTAATTTTACCTCAATCTGGACCAATTTAGATCATGCTCACCTCTACAAAATTTACATTTACATGATAGCAAAACAAAAGACATTAAAAAAAAAAAAAAAAAAAGACTAACAAAAAAATCAATACCAAAAACAATAGAAGGAATCAACACAAAATTTAAAAGTGTGGATTTGTAAGAAAGGTGGAGAGAGAGAGAGAGAGAGAGACGATTTTGATATTTGAATTCTGAGAAGCGAGGCTGAGAAGGTGTAAGGTGTGAGTAGGGGTGTTTGTGGTTCGGTTTTGGATGGTTTGCGGATCAATTTGGACCTGTCTGCATGTATGCGGTTTGGGAAAAATTCAACTTGCAACTGCCCGCAGTACGGGTTGCGGTTTGTGCAGATAGGATTCAGGGAGGTGCGGGCGGTTGATTAGACTTTTTTCAATTTTCAGATTCAATATCAATTTCCAAATTCAATATAATATAAAATTGATTTCAATTTCAAAAGTAATTAACAAATTCAATTTCCCCTTCATAAAGAAATAGATTCAATTTCCTACAATGTTCACAGAGCAAACAAAAATAAAAACATTCAAAAACAATGTTCTCCACAACATTTCTTTTTGTAGCATGAAATTAGGATTTGGTGTGTTGGCCAAAAATATCTACGATAGGATGAATGAAATCAACTGTCCGTGTTTAAAAAAAAATAAAATAAATGATAATAATAATAATAATAATAATAATAAAAAAATCTAAGTGCGGGCGAGTTCTTACAGGTGTAGGTTAAACCCGCAATCCGTCCGCAACTCGCAATTATGCCATATTTCAAACCACATCCGCCAGTATTGTGTTTGCAAAACCGCCTATTTGCATGCAGATCAATTCGAGTTGAGCGGATTGTGCGGTTCGAATAACCCCGTATCCAACCCTAGATGTGAGGCTAGAAAGAGAAAATAAGTGTGATTTTGTACCATCTGAGCCGTTGAAATTTGTAATCATTTGAGCAGTCCACATGGACAACCATCCAATCAATCCCTTGTTTTGTTATATAGATATAAAACTAAAATTGAAAAAATATATACAATTACACTTATTTAAAAATTGTGATTAAAATATATATATATAATCACATTTATTTGAAATATGAGATTAAAGATAAATACTATATTATTCAATTAAATTGAATGTGATTAAAATGTTATTTTAATTTTTTAATTACACTTCTAGTAAAAATAAGATTTTTTTAATTTCTCGTGTGATGTTTAGAATTATGCATTATTGTAGTAGTGAAATAAAATACCTTAAGCATTGCTTATTGCTCATTGCTCATTGCTAGTATGTGGATTGGACTTGGGCTTCTTTTGCATAGATTTACCAAATCGATAGAGTCCAAAAAATTGAATGTTCCACCTGGACCCACCTGGGATTTGAAATTTCTATGGTGATGGTGATTGGAGAGGAAGCTCCAAATGTACTAATATATGAGACTTGTAGCCCTTTTTTTTTTTTTTTGCTTTGTTTTATTTTTAGCTTTCAATAATTTTTTTTTTCAATTTAAAATTCATAAAATGGTCTGTCAACAATTAAAAAAATGAATATTAATTAAAAAATTTGATTATGCAAAATTCATTAATAACCTATTTTTAAACCAACCCAAACTAGTTATAAAAAAATTTCATTTCTTGTCCAAGACCCATTTATCACTAAAGAGAAAAAGCAATTTAGAATTACTAACAAATCTATAATGTAAGTTCCGAAAGACCAAGACTCAATATGAATGATATCATGCAAAATTTGATATTCAATAGTAATCACAACCCAACAAATATTTTTTAACCTATGTTTTTGCAACATTGTACACTTATAAAAATACATAAAGTAAAAAGTGGGACCAGATTGCATTATAAATCTGTTAAGCAGAAGCCAACTAACACATATGTGGGGCTTAAATCCCAAGCAACTAGTACTATAAATTGTTTAAAGGTCTCATCGATGCCTCTTCCTTCAACATGTGAGCTTTCCCTTTCATCCTTCTTTGTTCTTTTGCCATTTCCTCTCTATTTGTGCGTAATCAATTTTGGTGGGAACCAAGTACATGGGTTTCTCAAAAAAAAAAGAAAAAAAAAAAGAGGTAATTCTATTTCCACATAATAATTCTTCTCAATTCACACATTTAATGAAAATTTTCATTAATATAATTTTGTCTGAAAATAAAAATACTATAATACCCTCATCTTCTTTTACGCCAACGCCACCTCATCCGCCATCCCCTCCTATTGCTTTTTTTCCTCTCTGCCTACAATCACTTTTTGCTATGAACCATACACTTTCATAAGTCTTTCACTGCGAATCACTCAAGATTGACTGCAAGGGTCTAGAATGGAAGGGGATGAACTAGAAGTGATGTTAAGCACAAGGCAACTAACTAGTACTATAAATTGTTTAAAGGTCTCATAGATGCCTCTT